CCCCCCCCCGCCCCTCCCCCCCTCGCTTCTGCCTGCAGCTCCAGTCGTGGCTGTGACCATCTACCCCCACCGGCCCCTCATCTTCTCCGCCTCCCAAGACGGGACCATCCGCACCTGGAACCTCAACACCGTGGACCAGGTAGACCAGGTCCACGTCTCGGAGCCCGTGGAGTCCCTGGACACCCACACCAATTCGCACGTCTTCTCCGTCTCGGGCTGCACCCTCAACCTCTGGAGGATCAACCAGCTCTACTCGCTCTACATGGCGCTGGGCTCCCCCGCCAGGCGGCTCAGCTGCATCGACCTGGGGCTGCTGGGCAACTTCCCTGCCCGCATCCTCTGCCTGTGCCAGGACTCCACCGTGCGGCTGCTGGAGGCCCACAGTGGCGCGCCCGTCTCCGTCCTCTCCTTGGACCAGTATTCCCCGGCTCGGGAGGTGGCCTACTGCTTGCCCCGGGAGACGCTCTTCGTGCTGCTGGAGCAGGGCCACGTGCTGCGCGTCAACGCTGCCCCCAGCTCCATGGTGGTGAAGCGATGCTTCAGCAGCAGCCTCTGGGAGTCCAAGCCCTGCTGCCTCCTGCTCTACAGCCATGTGGTGGAGCCGGACAAGGCGTACGCCACGTGGCTGGACGTGACCCAGAACCAAGGCTACCGGAGGAAGTGGCAGAAGTCCACCATCAACATGCAGGACAGGAACAGGTAGGCGGCCTCAGGAGCCCCGGGCCTGGCTCCCTTCGTCCCAGCCCACCGCCTCCTGTAGGGTCCCCATCGCCTGGGGGGCTTCTCCAGACAGGCCTTGACTTTCTGGGAGCGGCGCCTGCGCTGGAACTCTTGGCTGGGGAAACGCTCCCTGGAAGGCTCTGGAGGCCTTGAGAGGACGGACGGGGCCGGGCCAAACGTCTTCTGCCCCCATTGTCCCCTCGGTGCGTCTCTCCGTGCCAGATTCCTGCCAATTCTGGGGCACAAGAATGGCTCCCTCAGTGTCATAGATTGGTTCATGGGCCGAGTGCAGTACACAGTGGAGGCGCATAACCCCCAGCGCGTCACGGCACTGGCGGAGTACCCCACGCAGATATGCCTCTTGTCAGCAGGTGAGTCTCAGAGGCCCCGGGGGGAGGGAGGGGCTTCAGAGGCTCCCAGGCCTCCCCAGAAATGACCTGGAGAGACTGGGGTCAGCCTCACTGGGTAGACTGGAAGGCAGCCTTACGCAACTCCCTCCCAAGTTGTCCCGTCTTTGGCGGGAGCAGCCAGGAGGGCCAGCTGGTCTCCAGGTCTGCCAGCAACCCCACTGAGGTGGCCAGCCGCCAGCATCAAGAGCTACCGCTTCTCACAGGCGGCCCACAGTTTGGTGCCAGTGGGTCGCATCCCCACGGACTTCCCGGTGCTGAGCTGCCGGAGGCTCTTCTGCAGCCCCACAGGAAGGCAGCTTTTCCCCTGGGGTGCGGCTGCCTTCCTCTGTGGTGACTGGCCCAGTGCAGGGCTTTGCTGCCACCGCCAAAGGGGCCCGAGGAACAGGCGTCCTTCAGGGGACCCAGGAACGGATGGCAAAGCCCCCCCCCAAGGACCCTCCTCTTCCTCTCCTGCTTCTGGGGCAGCTGAGAAGGCCAGCGGCCCTCCTTCCTCCTGGGTGCTCCATCACTGGAGGGTTTCAAGAAGAGATTGGACTGCCATTCCTCTGGAGCTGCGTCGGGTTTCTTGCTTGAGCAGGGGTTGGACTAGAAGACCTCCAAGGTCCCTTCCTACACTGGGGAGGGACTTTGCTCTCCCTGCACAAGTTTCTTGAATCGTGCTGGAGCTGCTATTTTTTTCAGTTGTGTTGCACTTGATGGTGGTGGGGATTCTTGGTGCTTCTTCTCTGTAAAAATCCCCAGTTAACCCCCACCTCTTAGAGTCCTAACAGGAGGAGGCCAGAGCCCACCGAGTGAGTAAACCCCCCTGGATAAGAAGGGGGGGATGTTGTAACTCGACCACCCTTTGCAGCTACCCGTGAGGGGAATTCTTCAGGCACAGCGCAGTAACTGGGAAGAGGGAGTGGCAGACACAGGTGACCAAGCGGTGCCCTTGCCCAGCACAGGTGCTGACCTCACGGTGAAGATGTGGCGCCTCTTCCCCTACGTGGAGGAGAGCCTCCTCCCCCTGCTGTGCTTCTCCTGCGCCTCCCCTGCGTGGCACCTGTGCTTCCTCGGAGAGACCCTGGCTGTGGCCTTCCAGGACCCTGAAACAGTCACTTACAGCATCGTCCACTACAACCTGGTGGAGCAGACGCGCTCGGAGCACGGACCTGAGGACGACGCCCAGGATGACATCACAGGTGATGCCCCCCCCCGGAGGGGACCAGGGGAGGCAAAAGAAGTTGTTCCACCTGGACTGGGTGGGTCTCAGCTCCCCCCCTCCCCTCACTGCATGCCCCAAATCCTCTTGCCAGGACTCTGCTGCTGCCCAAACCTGCAGCTCTTTGCCTCGTCCAGCCGGGACGGGTCGGTCAAGATCTGGGACCACAAGAACAGGCTGCTCCGGTGAGGGCCGGGGTGGGGGAGGGGCTGTGCCCAAGGGCCCCTCCCCCAAAGGCCAGTCCAGTGCAGTGCTGGGCTCTTCTCCTGGGCTCCCCCCACCCCAACGGCCCCATTTTGGGGGCCTCATCCAGCCTGGCTCCAGGCAGCCAATCAGTGGAGCTGCTCTCCAAACGCCGCCTCTGCTTGGCCCGGTTGCATCCACCCTGCCTGCCGTAGTGATGGGATATACCCCGGCCCTATGGAAGAGGCTGTTTCTGTGCTTTCCTGGGCCTCCCTTGGAGCAGAGGGGGGGTCTCGCACCTTCCGTGGGGTTTCCCACTCTGTCTCCCGTTTGGGGGCCCAATCCTGCTCCCCTTACCTGCAGCCACCTGAAGCTGAACACCATCCCGGAGAGCCTGGCCTTCGCCAACCCCAAGGGGGACCTGCTGGTGGGCCTGGAGCAGCACCTCTACCTCATCCCCCACACCAAGTACCTGCCCAGCTACTACCAGATGCAGGTGAGTCCGGAGGGCACCCCCAGGTGGGTCCAGGCCCCATTGCCAGGGACTGGGGTGCTCTGGTCCCCCGAAGGGAGCCTGCCTCTCCTCCTCCTCCTCCTCCTGTTGCTGCTCTTCTAGCTGCTGTGGGCCGAGTTCCTGGAGCCCCTGCAGGACGTCTCCTTGCCCATGAGCCCCACCAGCTTTGAGGCCCTGGTGCAAGAGAACAACCGGCGCTTGATGCAGGAGCTGCCGGTCAAGAAGTCTGAGTGAGCTCTGGGCCCAGGCCGGGGTGGTGGGGAGGAGGGGCTTGGGTGGCACGCTTGCTAGGTCCTGAGCATCAGCCCAGCGGTCCCGGGACCCTCCCCCACCACTGTCCCCCATCACCGCTCCTGGGGCTCCTCCTCCTCCGCCTTGGGGCACCTGGGGCACCTGGGCTGTTCTGTAGGTGCGAGTGAGCGAGTGAGGGAGGGGGCGCCTGCGTGGCCTTCACTCCCCACTTGGAGTCCTGCCATTGCAGAGGCCCTTGGCCCCTTCTTGGCAGAGCCGAGCGAGCGGGGCTGGCGTAGAGCCCCCCAGCTGGGTCTCCTGCCTCAGGGGCACCCCAGATTGTACCCGGGACGTCCTAAAGGTATGAGGTGCCCGAGGCAAAAGGCGGGCATTGAAAGGGGCCCGGTCTCCCCCACGGAGGAGAGCCCAGAGGAAGGGAGGGGAGAGGGACGCAGCCTGAAGTGCGGATGGGAAGCCTCCTGGGGGTTGGCTGGAGCTGCTTTGGGGGGCCCTCCGGCCTTGTGGGGCGGTGTCTCCGCTCCGTGGCCCCTGTGAGGCAGCATCTCTTGTGGCAGAACAGCTGCAGCTCCAGTGCAGGGAGGGGGAGGGGGCTGGGGGCCGCCAGGAGAAGGACCCGCCTCCTCTTTCGGCAGGTCCAGCATGTCCAGCGTCTTCCAGGTGCCCCTGAAGGAGTCCCGGGAGGTCAGGGAAGCCAAGCTCAAGCTGGAGGTCAGTCCCACCCACCCCGGGGGGGGGGGGGCAGGTGGGGTGGCGGAGGGAGTGCAGCCCAGCAGGAGCCGCCTGGGGCTCTGCTGAGCTCGGAGGCCTGACCTGGGGCTCCTCTGCAGGGCATGGCCCAGCTGGCGGAGAGGAACCGGGACCTGCAGCTGCTGCAGGAGGGGAAGATCAGCCCGGCCAAGAAGCCGCCCCTCTCCAAGGAGATGCGGATGGAGGCCTTTGAGCGCTACCTGCGCTTCTTCTACAAGGAGCAGCTCAGCCTGCAGGTGGCGCTGCGGCTGGCAGGGCTGCCGGGGAGCGGGTGGGAGCGCATGCTGGGCTCTGGGCCGGAGCCCCCTGGCACGCTCTTCCCTGCCCAGTGCCAGCCCCCTTCCGACGGGACCAAGGGACTCCTGCCCCCGCCTGGGCCGTTTCTGTGCCTAGGGAGCCCCTCCCACGCCCTCCCCTGGGCACCCAGCATCGGAAGGGGGGAGGGAGGGAGGGGGTTCTGTTCTCTAAAAGGCTTGGCGGCGGCTCACCCGGGCAAAGGCTGGCGGCAGTCCTCCGGTCCTTGGAAGCTCTGGTGGGCCAGCTCTGACCCACAGACTCAGCTGGGCACCCTGACCTGGCATCAGCACCAGCCCCTCCCCCCAACCAGGTCTGGCAATGTCCGTAAGGGGCAGCTTTCCCCCTGTCCAACGGGGGCCTTTCCTGGGTCTCCTGGGCTGGATCCCAGTTCAGCCCTGCCGCTTCCTCCTCCCCCCGCCCAGATTCCCAAAGAGGATCCCTTCGACGCCGATGAAGTGCTGGAATGCCTGGGATGGATGGACCCCCTCTCGGCCCTCTGCGGACCCTCCCTCTCTCACATGTTCCTCAGGGGCTT